CTAGCAGCCACTCCTTCCCAGAGCCAGGCAGCTGTTGACAACATACCTGACTCAATTTTGTCACCACCTCAGGGTGTAAATCGGGAGTTTGATTGGTCAAAATTCAGTCACTATTCCTAAAACTGAGCCCAGTGTGCTCTCTTTCCTTAAGCCAATTTTATTTCCTAGAAGGCAGGAGGTGGACCTGCTCTCATTGAAACCTTGGGACAGCCTATGAGTTCCTGGAATTAACAGGTATAGCCCCAGCATAAAAAAAAGGTCAGACAAGGCTGGAGAGATGGCTCAGAGGTTAAGAACACTGGCTGTTCTTCCAAAGGTCTTGAGTTCAATTCCCAACAACCTCATGGTGGCTCACAACCATCTATTGTGAGATCTGGTGCCCTCTTCTGGTCCACAGGCACACATGCAGGCAGAACAGTGTATAAATAATAAATAAATAAATATTTAAAAAAAAAAAAAGATGTCAGACTAGGGGCTGGAGAGATGGCTCAGAGGTTCAGAGTGATGACTACTCTTCCCAAGGTCCTGAGTTCAATTCCCAGCAACCACATGGTGGTTCACAACCATCTATAATGAGATCTGGTGCCCTCTTCTGATATGCAGGTCTACATGCAGGCAGAACATTGTATAAATAATAAATATATTAATCTTTAAAAAAAAAAAAAGAGTTCAGACTTTGGAAACAAATTGTGTATTTTGGATCCTGCCAGGGGCAAGTGCCTTGGCACCTTCCCCTACCCCCAGCCTCAGTTTCATCATTGGCAAAACGAAAGCAGATTCTCACTTTATGGGGGTCTGTGAGAACTGGAGATATTACATCCAGAGGGCTGAAGACGGGCGCATGAAGGACCCTTGAGATAATTCCCATGGCACCGGAGACTGCCAGTCACTAAGAAAACACAAATGAGGATTCCCTAAGGAGCAGCTCCTGTAGGGTAGTTCACCTCCTTTTTCCCCAAGTGGCAATGAAGAAAATCCCCAGCTCCCCGAGAAGGTCTTGATAAATGCATAAAAATACGTTCATTATTTCTTATATTCAAAACATGATACTAGAACTCAGGTACACTGATTTTGCCGAGAAGACGAATGGAACTACCTGGATGAGATTGAGAGCGTGCCCCTATCTGGGAGAGGTCCTGCTGGATAGCCTGTTTGAAGGGTAATTTGGTAACATATTTTAGCATCAAGTATTGATATTAAAGTATTTACTTGGGCATAGATGAGATTTTGGAACCCCCAGCAATTCAAATGAGGTGCAATAAAAATTAATACAATTTGATAGTTTTTAGACTGAAGGAATCTGTCTTCATAAATACCAACACAGATGCGCAAAGGGTGTTCCCTCGGGCACTTCTTGTAATAGCTAGCCACCAGAAATGATTCTGTCCATCAGGTGGGCAGTGAATAAATGCGGGGTAGCCACTGCTAAGGAGTGACTTTGGAGGGGAAGAAAATGTCTAGGACTAAGAAATTGTTTTTCAATACCACTAATTTGTTCACTTCAAAGAAGGTTGATTTTCTGTTACCTCAATGTTTTTACTTGGGAAAGAAATTTTCTTCTCTTTTTTTTTTAATGAACTTTTTACATTAACAAACAAAGTAACAGATTTCATAGTAGCATTCTCATTTGCATTGTTTCATACAGTACAATTCAGAACATTGTGTTTTGTTCTCTGTTACTCACCTCAGTTTTGATTTTGCTCTAAGAGTCACTTTGGTTGTAATTATGTATATGGGTGCAGGGGTACTTGTAGGAGCCGGAAGAGGACAGAAAAGGGGGTTGATTCCTCGGGAGCTAGAGTTACAGATGGTTGTGAGCTGCCCCTTATGGATGCTAGGAATCAAAATCAGTTTGTCTGAACTGAAGAGCAGCAAGTGTTGTTAGCCACTGAGCCATCTGGCCAACTCTTCAGTTAGGTTTTGAAGAATGGGTTTTATATGCTACCTTAAAAAAAGGTATAGTTGCCTGAAAAGAGAAAAACATTGTTTTGTTTTCTATGAAATACTTAGGGGACAAAAAACAAACAAACAAACTGGAAAGATGTTGAATGTAACAATGGTTATTGCCAGGAAGTGGAGTGGATTTGGGGGAAAAGAAGAGAATTTATATTTTAAAATCACATAATTTTACAAAATATCGAAGTTTCGAGTTGGTCTGGATTACTTTCCAACCCTGGGGGAAGTCCAGTGTTGGTCAGATTGAAAGTATGATGGTGTGGCAAGTGAAAGTGGAAACTGCTGCTGTGTTTTGCACCTTCTTTTTTGTGGACTTTTTTTTTTTCTGTTCTATGATTCCCATCTGCCCATCAGAACCACAGAGAGAGCAGGCCAGTGACTCACTGCCTTCTTTTGACCTTTTTAAACCCGTGGCTAATTGATTCTGAGTGCAGGCAAGCTACATCCATTTAATAGAGTTGTTGTTTATAAAGGGCGTGTTTAAGAGATCCCACGATCTGGACAACACTGTTAGTGACCTGGGCAAGCACTTTCTTGCTGTTTTGCAAGAAACTGGTTCAGATGTCTTGCACTCACCCATATGTCAGGAACCCACCGAAGCTCCTGCTAACCCAGGAACTTGCCTGCTGCTTGCAAGACTTAAAAAACTTGCCTCCACAAAGCTCTGGAAATATCCCAAGCCCCTGGGAAACTTCCTATTACGTTTTCCATTTTCTCAGGTTCTAAAAATTTAGTAAGTAAGCTAGAAGTCACCAATAATACCCATGTAAGGAGAAAAAAAAAAAAAGACAAACTGATGGCATTTTTAAAAATATGTGTTTGCATATGGTTTGCATAATTATGATGTGATCACATATAGATTTTAATGCTGATCAATTTTGCATGAAAGGAATTTTTAGAAGCTAAATTGAGTTGTCTTAAAAGCTGGATAGTAGTCTGTCAACAGGTAATTCTAACTTATTTAAGGGTGATTTTTAACAGTAGGGCCATCTCTTCAATCTCTCACCCCCACTCCAAGTTTTAAATAAAATGAAAACTTCCCTAGTGAACTTTATTTGTTCAATTTCATAGTTGGATCTCAAATAATTAAGAGCTACTCTGTACTATCTTAGTGATACAGACTTACATGTCACATTCAAATCAATTAAAATCAGGTTAGATAAACAGAGCAAGATGTGGTCACTACCTGTCAGAGGTTTGTCCAAATGGCAGAATAGGAGGGAGGGAGGACATTGGTGAAGCTTTTCTAACAGAGAGAGCTCTAGGTTGTATTCTGAAGATAGGTGAGGGAAAAGGGAGAAACACCTTTGAGAGAGAGAAAAATTGCTTAGAGAGGAAGCACTGAGGGTTAGCAAAAAAGAAAAAAAAAAGAACAACAACAACAAAAAAAACTCTCTAGAGAGTGGTGGGGGTGGGGTGAGTGGCAGAATATAGATCTAAATATGTCGCCTGGGGTCAGGTTCTTTGCCAAGCTGAGTGGAAGTTCACGCAGAAGGGCCCAGGTAACAGCACCAGAGTGACATTAAATAGAGGAAGTGTGTGAGTGTGTGTGTGTGAGTATGTGGGGGGGGGGGGGTTACTAGGTTTTTAGCTGTGTATAATAGCATGCATATAATCTCAGTTGTTGGGTAGCTGAGGTAGAATCCTGAGTTTGAGGCCAGTCTGTGTTACACAGTGAATTGCAGGTCATCCTATGTCCTATGAGTATATGTTATGTAAGTGTAAGAATAGAGTATGTGTGCCTGTGCGTGCGTGCGTGCGTGCATATATGTTTGCATGTATGTGCAAGTGCATGTAAGTGCAGGTGCCCTAAGAGGCCAGAGACATCAGATCCCCCGGGAGATGTTCTTTCTATTGAACAGTTGATGCTAGAATCCAAACTCCGGTCCTGTGGAAAGGCAGCAAGCATCTGAACAGTTCAGCCACCTCTCCATCCCTATGAGAACATGTCTTTAAAAAAAAAAATGTGTCTGTGGATGTAGTAATACCTCTTTGCTTTGTCTGTTTCTAGGGAACATGTTGAAATCTTGTTTGCAGGGTAAACACTAGAGATAGCACATTACCTTCCTTTGAATGCTTTGTGGTTGTCATGAGAAAGCCCCATGGTGGTATATTTCAGTCACGAGGCTGGACTTTGGGTAATTAGGCCTCTAAAGACATCTGGGGCCTCTTTGCAAAAGAAGAAAACACGTTACTGGTAGGCATCATTTGCCTCCAGGCTGCTACTCCGTATGCATAAGTGTTGCAACATTTTGAGTTGATAGAACTCCAGCTACTGGAGACAGAAGAGCCTGTGTAACTGAATGACTAAGGGTAGTCCTTCCAGGCTTCAGGCACAGTAGAATCCAGGAGCCCCAATGGTTCAGTTTGGTAAAGCCTGTTCTCTTTCTCCCTCTGTCAGCCATTCTCTCCAGCCTTCATCCTGTGTGTCCTTTCTTCTGCCCTATGGCAAACAGATTGTTCTGTGTGATCAGGGAGAATTGCTGCAAGAAACTTGTGTTAGCTCTGCGCTCACAGCCCCAGAGGACTACTCCTCCCCTTTCTCTCATAAATCGTGTAGCAGGGGAACTGTACCCGGCTCTGAATCGGGACGGTGGCACTGTCTGGTTGATGGAGGCTGGAGAAGCCCACCCAAACTATACAAGGGGGCCACCAAGGATAGTGGGGTCCTACTTGGAAGGAGAGGATGAGTGTTTGTTTGGGGTTATCCACCATTGTTTTTCCTTGTGCTTGTGAAGAATAACGTCCACTAGAAACAAGGCATAGGTTGTGTGCCGGAGAGCCACCTTTGGCCTGTAAGCCTGGTCTTGTTCTGAGGATCACTCAATGTCTATGTCACATAGGATGGTGACTCCAGCACGCTATGTGAAAAGGCCCCTGTTTGTTTTCCTCAGTGCACAGGCACACTCCTTATAAGCTTTGGCCACGCCCTTTCTCTCCTACAGAAACATGATCTGTGTCTGTCAGTGACAGGAAACTGCTCAGAAAAGGTCCACCCCATCCTGCTGCTGACCCCATGGTGGTCTCTTTTTCTCATTGTGTAGCGGTCCATCAGCTTCCGCAGCGAGAGCCGCCCTGACATCCTCGCCCCCAGAGCCTGGTCCAGAAATGCCACCTCCTCAAGCACAAAGCGGAGGGACAGCAAACTGTGGAGTGAGACCTTTGATGTGTGTGTCAATCAGGTGCTTACAGCCAAGGAGATCAAGCGACAGGAGGTAAGCTTGGGACCCGTGGAGCTGCCTGTGTGTCTGCCACAAAGGCATGCTGCAGACAAGAACCCATGCATCGGCCTTCAGAGCCGATCACATGTGAGGGCATACAGGTTGGAAGAAACTAAAAAGCCAGCGTCCAGCCGTATGGGCATGGCCCAACTGAAAAATAAAGTCATTTACAGTGCTGAAGCCAAGTGTCCAGTTAGGATTCTTATCCTCACAAGACAATCATTTTTATTTTATTTCTATATTTCTTTCTTTGTTTCATTTTGTTTTTCATTTTTGGAAACAGGGTCTGGCTGTCCTGGAGTTCACTATGTAGAGCAGGCTGGCCTTTAACTCAGAGATCTGCCTAACCTGCTCTGCCACCCCAGTTTTGGGATTAAAGGCATGTGCTACCATGCCTGGCTGCAATCATTTTATTTATATTTTGATAGTAACTTTGAGGTTGTTTAAAAAAAAATGCTTAGCTTTTGTAACTTTGGTTTAGCTTTATAAAGGAAGACTTCCTTGTGGAGGACAGTTCATTTCCCTGTAAGTTTTCTATAACTCCATCTCCCGGTAGCTATGATGACATTCCCATCTGTAAAGCTCGTCAGGACAAGCTCTGGTCATTTCTCCATAAGTAGTACCTACAGTGAGATCCCTGGAGTGTCTTAATTTTTGTTGTTGCTGATTGCTTTGGGTTTGGGGGTTTTGCTGTTTTGTTTTGAAACAGGGTCTCACCATGTAGCCCTGGCTAGCCTAGTACTCACTATGTAGACCAGGCTAGCCTCAAAACTCTCAGCGAACCCTTTGCCTCTGCTTCCCAGGTGCTGGGATTAACAGTGTTCACTACCACACTCCTCAAGTCAGCCTGCCCCACCCCCAGCTCTTCTTTCAAATAACCTAACCCTGGCAGAAGGGATACTGGGAGCTGTTGAAATCCTCATAGTACTATAGAGCTGTAGAAACTGGAAAGGCATGTTTATATGTGTGCTTGGCTAAGCTAAGTAGATGAAGCAAGGCACAAAATAGAGTGCTACCATGTATATAAAATAATGTGTAGATGCATAGATATGAATTTTTTTTGTATGATCATGAAAATATTTCTGGAAGGATGCCCAAAGAATTGGCAGCAATGTTTCTTCCTGAAGTCTCTGAGAGAAGGAGCTGAGAGTGAAGGTTCTTCCCAGGTGCCCATTTTGTGGGTGGACCTGTGTTGGTACCATGTGAATGTGTTGCTTATCAAACAGTGACTAAAGCCTTTAAGATAATGTGTGCACCTTCCCAAATCCCATGTGGAAATAGGCAAAATCATATGTGATATGAGGAGGTGTGTGTTTGCTCTTCATCAGCATGGCATGCAGATTTTCGCATATCTTCAAGCTGAAGTGAATGGATAGAATAATAGGCTGTTAGCGATGGAAAGCTTCAGGCTGGGTACCGGCCACTAGTAAGACCCAAGCAGGGTAACAGCAGTGAGACTTCCAGACTTCCTAGTTTTCATTTTTGTTTTGTTTTTGTCAACTTGACACAGCTAGGTTATCTGGGAAAAGGAACCTTGATAAAAAGATGCCTCCATCAGATTGCCTACAGGCAGTCTATGGGGTGTTTCTGAGTGACTGATGTGGGAGCATGCAGCCCACTACGAGCAGGGCCGTCCTTGGCCAGGTGGTCCTGTGTAGTATAAAGGAACCGGTTGACAGGCCACTAAGTAGCATTCCCCTGTGACAGTAGTTCTCAACCTTCTAATGCTGCGACCCTTTAATACAGTTCCTCATGTTGTGGTGACCCCAACCATAAAATTATTTTTGTTGCTATTGTAATTTTGTTACTGTTGTGAATCCTGATGTGTGGCCCCAAAGGGGTCATGACCCACAGGTTGAGAACCACTGTCTCATGACCTCTCTTCTAGTTCCTGCCTCAAGGCTTCCACCTTGAGTCTGGCCCTGAGTTCTCTCAGTGATGGACTGTGTGGCCTGAGAGGTGTAAGATGAAATCAGCCCTTTCCTCCTGAGTTGCCTTTGTTTCTCCCAGCAATAGAAACCAAACTAAAATATGGCTTTATCAGCTAAGCCCTGGGGAGAGAGGCTGACGGTTACGGGCGATAAGCAATGGCCAGTGATTTATCTGTCCTTGCTGTGTGGGTCTCCATAGAAATCCAGGACCAGGTTTTAAGAGCTGAGTAACTAAACACATGAGGTTCTGGGAGGGTGACTCGGTAGATATAGAGTGTGTTATGTATAGGCCACGCCCATCTCTTCCCCTGTTCCTATACTCACCTGATGCTCATATCCTTTACAAAATCCTGTAAACCAGTAAATGTGAGTGTTACTTTGGATTCTGTGAGCAGTTGTGGCAAATTAAGCAAGCCTGAAGAGAGGCCATGGAAACTCTAATTTCTCACCAATAGATGAGGGTCAGAGGTCAAAACATTTGAGGTCTTGATTAGCATATAGCAGGGTGAGGAGTCTTGGGGCTGACCCTCACCTGGGGGACCTGATGCTGCCTCCAGGTAGGTAGTATCAGAATTGATTGCCAGGCAGTGGTGGCACAAGTACCTGTTCACCTGTGAGCCCAGCACTCGGCAGGCAGAGGCTGGTGGATCTCTGAATTCAAGGCTAGCCTGGTCTACAGAGTGAGTTCCAGGACATAGGCCTATAATCCCAGCACTTGGGGGAGGCAAAGGGAGGTGGTTCTCTGTGAGTTTGAGGCCAGCCTGGTGTACAAAGGGAGTCCAGGACGGCCAAGGCTGTCTCGAAACCTTGTCTTGAAAACCAAAAATAAATAAATAAACAAACAAATAAACAAATAAAAGAATTAGAGGTCGATATAGTGTCTGCTATAGAATTCATTAGTTAGAGTGCAGAGAAAAGTCTCTATATTGGGAGTCAGAAGTGACCTGCATTTAAATGGAGGAGGAAAAACAGGAATGGGAGGGAGAAGGGAGGGAGGGAGAGGGAAAAGAAGAGAAGGGAAGGGAAGGGAAAGAAAGGGAAGAAGAAATTGAGTTTCTCTATTCTCAGAGTTAACAATATGCTATTATGGGTGATTTAAAGTCTTCTTTCTTATGTTTTTCTCTATTTTTCTAAGTGTTACTGATAAACATCTATAATTTGTACAGTCTGACACTGTAGTAAAAGAAAAGACAGACAACAGATGAGAAAGACCTTAAGGAGGGTTGAGCAAAGGCAAGCTACAGTCAGGATTTTGAAGTAGGAACTCCTCTCTTACTTCAAAGCCAAAGCATTTTTCATTGTTGAAGCCCATGGTTGTTTTCCTCGGCAGGGTGGCCATTGGTCACCATAGTTTGTAAACTCCCAAAAGGCAAATGGCTAAGAAAATCTGAGGCAGGATACATAAGATGCCAGTGTTGGGGACAGCCAGATGATAGGTACACAGGACCTCTGTGCTGTTTTTGTGAGTGTAATTATTTCAGTAAGCCATGGCATGAGGCTTTTCTGGGCCTTGGGGAGGTTACCTATGTATCTCGGTACCCTGGGTCACCTGCTTTGTTCCATGTCATTGCCCTCTAGTCCCTAAAACGAATGGTAGTGGCCATGCCTGAGAGCTGTTGACTCCTCTCCAGCTGAGGACAACACGTTGTCCCTGAACCATCCTCATGGACTTGTAGGCCTTTAATACCATAATGAAGAGATTAGTTTAATGTTTAGATTAATACCATAGTGTTTAGATTCCTAGATGAGAGGGTGTGTTCTGCACACCATAGCTCTTTAAGTTAGGGTGGTCTAATGGAGCCAAATTAGAAGTGGTCGGTCCCCTTACACACTGTTGCAAATAGCCAGCCCCTCTAACCTTACTTATCGGACCTGTGAGACTTTAGAGTGAATGGGCTCCACCAAATTCTGTTTACAGTGATAAATGTTGGATTCTTTCTATGACCCTAGTCTTAAGTAGATAAAAGGAATATAGTGTTCTGTTGAGACTTGCCTTCTTTGGGTAAACAAGAAGCAGGGTGCAATGGACTGTTTTTAATAACACTGCCAGGTCCATTTCTCAGAACAGATTCTGGATTGTTTCTTACGATTGCCACTCATAGCAAAGGTACAGATCCAGCGCTCCCACAATGATTATTTCACTTGAAACAGTTCCCTTGTGTTGGACTTCATCAGAGTTCTGAAACATGAAGGGTGACTTGGTACGTTGGAAATACACATTCTCTCACAAACAAGGCTTTTCTTTGCAGCTTTTAGCTACAAATGCATTTGCTTCAGGCTAATTGATCTCCTTTTTCTTCTTCTTCTTCTTCTTCTTCTTCCTCCTCCTCCTCCTCCTCCTCCTCCTCCTCCTCCTCCTCCTCCTCTTCTTCTTCTTCTTTGCTTCAGGTTTTAATCTTAGGGCCTTTTACACACACGACACACACTTCCATGACTACACCCCTGGCCTCATCTAACTTAAGGAGATTTGGAGCTTTTGCGTGTTGGTATGGTTTGAATTGGGTCTCATGAAGGAAAGAACTGAGCAAGTCTGTTTTATTTTTTTCCTGCAGGCGATCTTCGAGCTGTCTCAAGGGGAAGAAGACTTGATAGAGGACTTGAAATTAGCAAAGAAGGTAAGCTAAGCTACAGTAGCTGCTTCAGTGGGTTTTTCCCCCAAGCCCTGTGAGTCATCTCAAGTCTCAAGATGCTGCTTTTTGAGTAGCCTTCTTATGACTAACTAGAGGCATCAGACATTGAAAAGAACCTTTGACCACAAACGGAACAGTGAAGGCTCAAAGCAAGAAGGCAAACAGCTCTCTACCCCTGGCACCTGTCGGATGCCTCTGCATGTCTGGGTGCACCTCAGAGGATGTGTCTGTTTGAATCTAAAAGCACTCCTGGGGGCCTGGTTTTATGCATATTTCATTGTCCTAGAAGTCTTTCTTGAGGCTGAGGTGGGAGGGCCTAGAGTATGGCCCTGGCCTGGGCTATATATCTGTCTCTTAAAACACACACACACACACACACACACACACACACACACACACACACACACACACACAAAAAAAAAAGAGGTCTCATGGAGGACCTCTTTGTCCAGGAGAGAAATCATCATCATTTAGAAAAATGGATCTCTAAATCAGAGCAAAGACCTTTGAGTCTTGAAAGTAGGTAAAGAGAGATAAATATTTGTGTAATATAATAAATTAGTGGGTTTTTTTGTGGGGGGAACTTATTTGTTGAGTACTGACAATCAAATTCAGTTTGAAACATGCTATACACATAAACTACTGCTGAGCTAGAGCCCAGCTGGAAATGTGTTAATCAGCATTATATGGGAGGAAAAGAGAAAACCTTTGCTTTACATCATGTACATTCTTTTTTGTTTAAAGATTTATTTGTTTTATGTATGAGTGGTCTATCTGCATGTACACACAGGTGTGCCAGAAGAGGGCACCAGATCCCAGTTTAGAGGGTTGTGAGCCACCATGTGGTTGCTGGGAATTGAACTCAGAACCTCTGGAAGAGCAGACAGTCCTCTTAACCTCTGAGCCATCTCTCCAGCCCTTTGCCTGCCCTGCATCATGTACATTCTTGACAGCAAGTCTTTCCATTCCTGTGACCTCCCTATCTTGGAAGCTCAGTTCAGACTCCTCCAACTTTTTTGTTCATGGCCTCCTGAGGGAATCATGAAGTCCGAAGAATGTTTCTTAGGATCCTTAGTTCAACATTCTGCTAGTAGAAAGTTTTACCCCTTATACTTCTGAGATGGCCATCTAGGTTTTGCATGGACACTGCCAAGAAACTGTTGGGTAGGGCTAGAGACTGGGCATCGCAGAGAAATACAAAGGCCTTTAAGTGTGGAACACATTATATGTTCGTATGCTGGTCACTTGCCTAATCCCCTCTTCCCAAGTCAAGATTGCCAAGTGTAAACACTGTTAGCTGTTTCCTGGCCAGCCTCTTATTCATAGTGATCTGCCCAAACCCTTCTCTTTCCACCCAGTTATACAGCTCTAACCCTCTCACAGGCATCGGCTCAAATCAAGGTCCTTTCTTCTGGGGCATTTTCTGCCTCCTCTCCACCACACAGCTCATCTCCAGAACCTTACCTTTAATTTTCTGACCTGTTGGAGCACCGTATGACTTGACCGTTTTTGTTTTTGTTTTCTGATATGACATACTGTTGTTAATTTTGAACTGTTTTTTAGACATATGTTTTAAGTTTGCATGTATTTTTTTTAAAAAATCTTAGCTAGCTTAATACAACTCCCTGAAGGCAAGAATTGCCATCTATGTCTTATTTTCCATTTGTCTTATGTGTGGTATACTTCTACATGTACATGTGTGTTCATCCATGCTTGTGGGTGTCGGAAGCTAACATCATGGGTCCTTTTGATTGAGTCTTCACCATATTTATTGAGGCAGGTTCTCCGACTGAACCCAAAGCTCACTGATATGGCTAGTCTTGTGAGCCAACTTGCTCTAGGACACTCCTGTCTTTCCACCTTTCAAGTTCCGGGATTGGGGGGGGCACCCTACCCAGCCAACTTTTTTGTGCATTCTGCAGATCTGAACTAACTAGGATTGGCACATGTTTTTCTGTCTGTGCTTGACATCAATAGTGAAGGGTTCAACCACTTTTCTTTCAAATACATACTTATTTGAAAAGGCCTGCTGTTGGCTAATTTTGAATAAAGTGGAATTTTTCAGAGTAGGATCATGTTTACTTTTAAAACCTTATAACAATAAAGATTGCCCTCCATGTAGGAGTTTTGCTCCTTTCTAGGTACACAGTATACTAAAGTACAAAAGGGGTTGGGAAAAAGTCTACCTTGATTTATCAGTAGCTGCAAAAGGCTGAAGACAGGACTGGATTCTCTATTCTTCCAGCCACATCTGTCTGCTGTTTCCATGGTATTATGGGAGAGATTGTAGGAAGCCAGTTTTTATTTATATAGCACCTTTCAGAAACCATTTATATAAACAACTGAGTTTCTCTGAATTTCACTATGTCTGTCCATCCCTTGCCTGTCTTTTACAGGCCTACCATGACCCCATGCTGAAACTCTCGATAATGACAGAGCAAGAACTGAATCAAATATTTGGAACCCTGGACTCTCTCATTCCTCTACATGAAGGTATGGTTTTGGTCCCAGACGAGTCATGTCTTGTAGCATTAATTGAGTTGTCTTATAGCAAATCTTTGATTATGTAATAATGTCAATATCCCAGACCTACTCCGACCCTGCTCATATCTGAATGCCTAACAAAATAAGCATTCTGTTTGTTTCTTTGCCAGCGCTCCTTAGTCAGCTTCGAGATGTTCGGAAGCCGGATGGCTCGACTGAGCATGTTGGTCCCATCCTCGTGGGCTGGGTAAGAAATGTTTTCTGGCCTTGTTTGAAGATGGATTTCACTTTACCTGGATCTTTTCTCTGTTGGCAAATACTGGTTATAACATCAGCTATAAAGTTAATCTCTTAATATATTAAGGCTTTATGTCTTCAAAGCATGGAAACATTTTTTTTTTCTTATTGCAGATTTATTGTCTTTAAAGACAACCTGGCATTTTTACAATAAAATAAAAGTACACACAGAGCTCTTATTAGTTTCACATGAAATAAAATGATACTAGATTATATTGGATCTAGGCCAATTAAATTTTTACCATTTCTATTCTAAGTTTAGAATTAACATTTTTTTTCAGTGCTTGCTATATAAGAATTTTACTCCTGAGCTACAACTCCATGCCCATCCCACCTTCTTTCCCCTCATTCTTACATTGCTCACACTGTCCTTGAACTCACTTTGTAGCTCAGGCAGGCCTTGAATTTGGGATACTTCTGCCTCCGCCTTCCAAGTAGCTAGGATTTATAGGCCTGTGCCACCAGGCTTGGCATTCTTGTTCATCATCCAAAGTAGCTTTTCAAGCTATTCGAAATAATTTGTTTTGCTATAATTTATGATGGTCTAGCTCTTGCTTAGAGGATGCACAAGCCCTTGAGGTGCGGTGGGGTCTCATGGTCTAAATGTAGTTTCATGAACTAGGCAGTGAGTACGTGTTGCTTGTGTTTAGAACAAACATTTCTAGCATGTACGCAGACCTGCACAGTATATCAGATCCCCTTTCTTAAGGAACTCAGGGCTCCTAAATGTGTGGTCCTCGTACTGAATTTTGTTCAGCCGAGTGCAGAATGTTGCTGTTCGGTTGTGTCACTTGCTTAGACAAGGCGTGTGCTCATTTACCACCATTCCAACCACTCCCTGTTGTTTGCCCACCTTTTCCTTCAGTGAGTACTTGGATACTCCTTCCCCATTCTAGATGTTTTTATTTGTTACGAAGCCGGTTATGAAAGCAGGTAACTTTAATGACTTCTGCCAGGCAAAATTAGATCTCTGATCCCTCTGATTCACCCAGTATTCCAGGAAAAATAGGCAGGGGGTGTGGGGATGGAGAGTACTGCGGAGCTCTAATTCTTATGGCCATGTGTGTTCTCTCTCTCTCCAGGTAAATCTGTTTCTAACTTTTCTAAAACCATCAGGCTCTCATTGATGTCACATGGATGTGCAAAACAAATCTTAACACTGGTGTCTGACCTGGTACTTCTCCATTGCTGCCATGATCTTGGACTTTTGGAGGGTCCCATGACTTGGCCGTAGTTCAGAAGTCAATTTTAGAACCAGGGCTAAAAGATCTCAGGAATAGCTGAGAGACAAGTAATGTTCTAAGCTGAATAATTAAGACTCTGCGCTTCAATATTTCAGGAGAGATCATTCATCTAAACTTTTGACTTTGTAATTATAAGTTAGGGTATGGCGTTAAACTTCTTCAGCCTGCAAAGACATTCCTCTGAAGGCAGTGGCTCCACTAGAGTTGGAAGTGGTTTAATGAGAATGTCTACATTGGTGTTTTTTAAACTTCTGCAGTCTGTGGACTCCCTAATCAGGGAGTGAGAGCACTTGAGAGTTAGCTGAGAGTTAGTTAGTCCTGCTCTATTTTCTGTTACATAGTGATAGAGAATGGCACTGTGCCTTTAATTGTTGTGTGCAGATTATGGCATTGTTTCAGGCCTGACATACACTTGGGTCACTTATGTTACAAGGTTTGTTGGATCTGGAGAAGGCTTTAACAGCATGTTCTGTAGTACCCAAAGGAAGTGTGACCATAGCAGTCGGTTGCTGTCTGGACCCTCCAGGCATCAAATGGGGACTGTAACCTTGGAGAGCAGCCGGAAGGAAACAAGTGGCCATTGTTGCCAGATTTCACGAGAAATTGTCCTTATTCAACCAAAATGCTGTTTCGTGTTTTTCCTCTTTTAACTGCAGGTGTGTGGGTATGAGTGGGAGATATAAACCAAGGGGTCAATCTGTTTGAGTTCTGCTCTCTTTAACAGAATGAAATAAACATCTTACTGGACACTGAACAAAAAAATCACAGCCCATTCAATCCATGGAAAATTGATTTTTTTCTGCAAAGGAACAACCTTTTGAATGAGTGAGCTACCCCACAGGAAAGCATCAGCTGGCCCTATGACCCTAGAGTGAATCCATGACTTGTGCTTTGAAGACGTTAAACAGAGGGCTTGCTTTTCTTTGGGGAGCCGTCTTGGTTACAGATGATGGGAGTCCCCTTCTTAGCCGGTCATCCTGTTTGAGCAAGCCCTCCTTGTCACAAAGAAACAATGTCTCAAGTGACTGGTCTGGGGAATAAAATAATTTATAAGCTCTCCAAGGCAGAAAGTGAGTGCTCCTGTTAATTTAGGTCCTAGTTAATTTTTAATTTCAAAGAGAGAGCTGGGGTGTGTGGAGGTAAAGATCCAGATTTATCCTGACATTTTTCATATTAAGGGGATAGACTTTCTAAAAAATATATTTTAAAAAGAAAAAAGTGTTTTCCATATATATATATATATATATATATATATATTTTCTTGGGGCCTTTTAAGTTTTTTCGTTTTTTAATTCTTTGACAGGTTCATACATACAGTGAATTTTGGTGCATTTTGCCCCATGTTCCTCACTCTTATCCACCACCCTCTCTCACTGAAACCCTTCTGCTTCCCAGAAAGTCCTCTCTTACTCTTTATCTCTTTTTTTATGATGCACGAATTTAACTATTATTGCTTGCACAAGTATGAGGGCGAGATTATTTACAAGAGCATGGGCGATTCACCAATGCCTGTACCCCTAAAGAAAATGACACCACCTTCCCCAGCAACCATTAGCTGCCTCCTCCTGGGCATCCCCCCCCCCATGTGAAATGGTGGGCCCTGTCTTGGGCAGATCGAGTACAGTCGGCCACAGCTGCAGCGAGCTACTTGCTCAGCTGTAGTCTAAAACCTGTCTGGCTAGCTCCGCCCATGGTAGATGACTCGCCATCTCTTTAAACAGACTATCGAGAACTCTTGAGGGTGGCTGAAGAGACGGCTCCGGCCTCCGTAGGCACCAGCACTTACGTACACGTAGCCCCTCATATATGCATAATTAAAATGATAAATGTTTAAAAAAGAAATTTATAAGGTAGAACTTGGGAGGTGACCTGGAGTTCAAAGTCATCTGCTTTCATATTAAGTTCAGTGTCAGTCAGGCTGGGCCACATGACACCCTGTTTCACAAGACCCCAAATACAATGTATTTTACCTGCTCCAGGCTCAGGAAACATCATAGAAGGAAAAGAAGGGATGGAAGAGTCAGGTGATAGGGTGATAGGCAACAAAATGACATCTTCTGACCATGGCACATCTGTAAGCTTTGAGTTCCGGGTAGGCCTGAGCTCCAGAGTAAGACCCTATCTTAAACTCTAACAATACAGCAACAACAAAACACAAAGCAAACAAGAAAACAATAAACGGTAATAATAGCTAGTACATAACGCTTCTTAACTAGAGGGTAAACTGTGCTGTTTTATCTGCCTTGTCTCATTAAGGGGTGGAAAGGCCTTCATTGTACACACTTTGTGAGTGGAGAAACTGGGGTACAGAAGAGTCACAAACAGCTGTCCAAGTTTGTTTTTGAACCTGATGCTGTTTTTCCAGAGTCTTGTCTGTTTGTTTTTATTAAACCTCTTGAGTTTTTGCCTCATTTTTAAAGAGTGTGCATACTGTTTGGGAATGAGATTGTATAAGTTTTGAGTCATGCCCAGGAAATGAGCACCCTGTCAGGTATGAACAAAGGAGCAGAGCTTAATTTGGTTGCCATGGTAGCAAGTGGCAGGATCAGAGAAAGTACTGGTCCGCTGGACAGTGTGGCCAGAGTTCCTTGGTAGTCATATCTGATTGTGACTGCTGATTTGCTTCTACTTAATGCAAACATGGGTCATTTCCAGGTCTTTAAAAAGGCGAGGAAGTGGAAATGGAATTAAGAGAGCCTGAGGTGCTTTTGAACTCATTCTGAAAATCTAAATTGCAAGCACCGTAGGCGGCACAGGTGGTAGGTATGTCAGTTTTCAACACTTCAAAATATAAGGGTGAACAGAGAATTTCTGCAGCTGTTTTTTTTTTTTTTTAAACACAAACGAAAAGGTTGTTTTGTGTGTGTGCTTGTTTGTTAAAGTGAAGGAAGGCTTTTCTTAGGAACATTAAACTCAGTAATGAATCTTTTAAATACTACTTCTCTGGCAACTTTTTCTACTCTGTGATGAGGAAATAACTTCAATCTGAAGCATGAAAGTAGTGGCAGAACATTTAAAAACTTTAAATGCTACCGCTTGTATTTTTGTTGATTTGTCCCTTTTGGTTGTTGTTGTTGTTTTCACATGTATTTATGTGTTTGTGTATGTATGTGAGCATACAAGAAGACAACTTGTAGGAGTCTGTTCTCCTGTGCATGGAAATCAGAGGTTGACTCCTGAGAGTTACCTTCTTCTGACCATCCAGGTCCTGGGATCAAACTCAGGCCCTAAGGCTTGGCAGTGAGTGGCTTTTCCGCCCCTTTTTGTTTGTCTCGAGACAGGATCACATTGTGTAATCCGGGCTGCCTTGAACTCACTCAGACCCCTCTTGAACTTTCAATCAGTCCCTGCCTCAGCTTACTGGGTACTAAGTTTATAAATGTGAGCCACCGCACTCAGCGTCTTGTTTTGTCTTAGGTTTTTGTGTGGTTTTGATTCTGCCATTCTCTTGGTGAGCATTGCTCCCAAACCATTGGCTATTCTCTGCTCTCATAATCCATTATCCTTTCATTTATGTGTTCATCCAGAATACAGACTTTGTTGTTTCATGGGTACGATGTAAAGTCCCAAAGATGCAGAAACAAAAGACACCATTGTCACTGGTCGCATTGAACGCTACAGAGGGAATGTCGTGGTGAACACGGTCTTGTCGTTGGTTTCCACTGGCCGTGTGTTACCGCTGTGGCGTGCAGCTGAGCCACTGGCTGCGTGCTGCTGCCATGGGCAGCTTTGCCCTAGCATGTCAGGCTAAGGTGCTGTTAAGAGGGAGGAGTAGGAGGAGGGGATGTGAAGTTTTTGCTTGAGTCTCTGATGTGGTGTTTACACAGTGTGGCTGATGGCATGTCAGCATTTTGCTGGGGTGAAGGCAGGGTAGTTAGCGTGTTCCACTCTTTGAGCTGAAACTATTCTTGCATGGTAGCATGATGTGATCCAGAAGGTAGTGCCAAAAACCTTTCCTGGCCCATCAGAGCTCATTTAGAAGATTTCAATGAATAATTCCTACAACTTTTTTTTCCCCCTAATCATGCTATTGCTTGAACTTCTTGAGGCCCCTGATAATTGGGCCACCTTGGAATGGTGTCATCTCAAACAGTGGTGGCAATGCTTGTCCTGAGCCACACAAAGCCTAGGCTGTGAGTGTGACCCTTGCTTTCTGGGTATGCCACTAAATCTTCTAGATAAGTCTCTTTAAGATAATCTTAAAATACATTCTGCTTTAAAGAGTAACAGGAGGGAGATGGAGGTGGGACTTAGCCATTAAGAGTGCTTGCTACTCCTCCAGGGGGCCACAGTTCCGTTTCCAGAACCCCCAGAGGGTGGCTCACGACTGCATGGAACCACCCCATTTCCAAAGGTCCCGACACCCTCCTCGGGCATCCATGGATGCCTGCGTACACGTGATGCACATCGAGATAAGCAAACGCCACACACACACAGAAACACCAAAATTCTTAAAGCTAAACAAATTTTTAAAAATTAAAAGGGGTCTGAGGAGATGGTTCAGTAGGCAGAGTGCTTGTGTATCAGTGAGAGGATCTGGGTTTGAATTCCCACAATCCGCATAAAGCCACACACAATCTCCTGCACCTTTAATCCCAGTGCTTCTATAGAGAGATGGAAGGTGGAGACAGGAGGATTCCCAGAAGCTGGCAGACCAGCGAGACTGGGGTTTTCAGAACATAGGAATTAGTGAAGAGACCCTGTCTAAGAAGAAGGCCAATACCTCTGGTCTCTGTTTGGATGCTGTGACACACGTATTTACATGCTCCCATTGTCATCTCATCATCATCGTCATCCCATCATCATCATCATCATCTCATCATCATCATCTATACACAGAGATACATACATATACATATACATATACATATACATATACATATACATATACATATACA